CCCCCCCCCCTCTCTCTCTCTCAGACACACACACACACACAGAGCTTGAGAACGGGTGAATGGAATGGCTTTGTTAGCTGCTGGGGGAACTTTCTGGGTGAAGTATAAGATTATCGTGCCAGTGAGCCAGTTTGGTCTAGTGGTTAAGGCTTCAGGCTAGAAACCAGGAGACTGTGAATTCTAGTCCCGCCTTAAGCATGAAAGCCAGCTGGTGACTTTGGGCCAGCCACTCTCTCTCAGCCCCCAACATCAGGCTGGGGCAGCAAGCCAGTTGGTCAATTCCTGTTGCAACCAAAGGATCAATGTTCAGTAGATCTAAAAAAAAAAAAAAAAGTGGACCCTGCACATGTAGGAAAAACACTAGGAAGGAAAAAAAAAAGTATATTGCCAAACAAACATTAGGTGACTAAGTATGTATGCAATGGTAAGTAAGAAGAAAAGATCAAACTTTCCTTAAGACATCTGCTTCGTGATTTAAACTTCCTCTTTGAAATTGTGACCCTACTTTAACTCCAGGTTTGCTGAAATGCAGAAACCTTCTTTTTCCCCCTTCTCCCATCCCAATCCATTTCCTTGTTGTATTGGTTAAAATGGTTACCTAGAATTTGGAAGAGCTTGCAAGTCCATCTTTAGCCATGGAATTCCACTGGAAGAATTTAGACTGTCCAGGTTCTCAGCACTTTGATAGGATTGGGTTGTTGGTGAAAAATTGGAAGAAGGGGTGTTACATATAATGGCCAGATCACCTGGAAGAAAGATAGGAAACAAAACTATGAAACTCATAATGTAAAATATTATAGTAGTCCTTGTGAGCAGAAACTTTCTAATGCCTGAACACACACACACACACACACAGCATTGTTTTGTTGTGTGCTCTGGGGGATTTTTTGATTGAAAAATAAGATAATGCTTTAAACAAACAAACAAATATTGGCTGAGTAGTCATTCCTCTAATGACATAATCATTTAAAGAAGAAAAATTAGAACTTAAGACATCCATTGCACGATGTGCTCTTCCTCTTAAACTGTATCCCAACTTTGCTCAAAGTTTACTCAACACTATGATCATGCCAAGAAGTTTAAGCAAACTTAAAATCTTTTAAATCCAGGAATGAAATCCTTATGTTTTAGAACAGTGCTTCTCAACCTTAGTATATTTAAGATGTATGGACTTCTACTCCCAGAATTCCCCAGCCAGCCATGTATGGACTTCAACTCCCTGAATTCTTAGGGTTGAAGTCCACATATCTTAAAGTTCCCAAGGTTGAGAAACACTGCTCTAGAAGGTGCTTGGCAGGTATATGTAGTTCCAGAAGAGACCCCACTTTGAAGAAAAGTGGGATGCCTTCCTACCCAGGATTAACCATTATTCAAAATAAAGACATGCTTAAGGCACCAAGGGAAGAGGGGCACAACAGTTTTTTTTTCCCCTGGCATGCCCTTATCTCTCCCACTGTCACACTTGGCTTTAGTTGTGAATACTGCATTTAGTTTGCATTTTTTTCCCAGATAATAATTTTATTGAAAAATTGCATTTTTTTCTATTGACCTAATTATATCTAAATAATTTGCTTATATTGGTTACTACTATTTAGTGTTATATAATTATTATTTTTTTAAAGTTTCTTTTTGATATAGTTGTGAGGTCCAGCCTAGGGGATGGCCTGGAAGAAAACTGAATTTTTAATTATTATTTCGCTTTCAGCATGTAAGGAATCTTAATTTCTTGTCAGTGAAGCAATGGATGGACCAAAGGAGAGCATTGCTGGGCTGTGCTTATGTTACCAGTTGGCCTTAATCCAGCCCTGATGCCTCCAATAGTCCCTTCAGTGAAATCCAGTGTACTGCATCCTAGAAGCTACAGGAAATAAAAATATTATTAAAAGGGACTTTTTTCATGTCAAAATAAGATTGGGCAGACATTCTCCCTCACCTTTTCCGATTTGCATTTCTGTTGCTGTGACTTTAAATATTATCCATGCTGTATTCTCCATAAATTTCCAGCTGCTTATTATGTTTGCCTTTATACCATTTGTCTCATTTATTAGTGAACAGATAATTTGATTATTTATTGATTATAATTTCATTTTGCACTTCTGGAATGCACAAGCCTCTTTAATAATGTAGAGTGTACAAGTGACAAAAGAATTGCTGTTCAGGCAGACCCCAGTTCATAATACAAGATTATAACTCTCATCTCCATATTCACCAGGTGCTGTTTAAAAATATATGGTGAAAGTACATTCTAGCAGGACAAATGAGGAATAAAGAAGCGATATTAAGGCCCCTCTCCCAATCATTTGGAAGTTGGAGCTAGGATGAAGTTGGCTTTCTCCCACTCTCTGTCTTCAGTCTTTCCAAGCATCATGCAAAGTTTCTAAAACATCCATTCAGACATTACTTCCTGCTTTATGTGGCTTCTGCTTAGCTCACTAGACTTTGATCTATGTGGTGAAACCTATTCACCCGCCACATAATAGCAGCTTCTTTGTCATAAAAGTAGTAGGAGACAAAATTCTCCAGTTAATGTTTCTCAGGTTGAATGTTAAGAAAAGTTTCTAACAGTAAGAACAGCTTGATGGGGGACTAATAACCAAAGAATGTGATTATTTGTCTTCATTAGATGTTTTCATGAAGAGTCTGGACAGCCACCTTTCAAAGATACTTTACTTTGGGTCCATGCACTGAGTGAGGAATTGTATTTTATAGGCTCAATCACCTCCTGCATTCTCTGTTACATTTTTGTAATTCTTTGTCACTACCCATACTTTTCTCACAGTTTATTATATTATTTTAGCATAGTTAATACAATAGTGTGCCACCCTAATGGTGTATTCAAACGGATCTTTCCACTGATTGATAAGTGTTGGATTGGAGGTACAGTTTCTTGAAATTTTTCATACCAATAGTGTGCCACCCTAATGGTGTATTCAAACGGATCTTTCCACTGATTGATAAGTGTTGGATTGGAGGTACAGTTTCTTGAAATTTTTCATACACATTATATAGTTCTATAATTCAATACAGAAGCTAATTTAAAGCTCAGTTGAAAAACATAGTTGAATTTTCCCACCAAATAATATTGAAGAGGGTTTTTTTGTCCCACCTTTTTCATTACAATGCAAACACAGCCTACTGTAATAATGAAGTGTTAAATTTCAGCACCATTTTAAGTATGTGAATCAAACGTTTAACCACATATATATTTTAAAAACCTCGTATGTGCAGATGGACCTAGAAATGAAAAGTGATCAATTTACCCAATGGCAGCTATGTTTGTACAAACTGTAAAATTTCTCAATTTTAATATCCAGTGAGGAAGATATGTCATCATGTTAAGTATGTACTTGTTTTATTAT